CTCCTTTCCAGATTTCACAAATTCAACTATTCATTCAAACTGTATCAAAGCTCAACCAAAAAAAAAAAAAAATGTATGAAACAGAAAGACCCCTCACAATCACACACACACACACAAACAAACCCATGCACACACAAACACAGGTCACCACTGCTGTCTAAAAGTCATCAGGAAACGGAGGATTATTTTCCATTCAGGGGGGATTTTGCTAACGCCTTTCTCTGTCGCACAGGTGTTTGGTAGTGATAAACAACTCTCTTTCACTCCTGCCCGCTGCGTGTTTGTCCGCGTGTGTGCACCCGTGTGTGTATGTGTGTTTGTTTGACATATTTGGTGTGCACGAGCTTGTCAGTAACTCGTGGTTTGAGAGCGATGGTGTTAATCCTAAACCTTAAGTCTTCATAATTCATATTAAAGTCAGGCTTTAACTTGGTAATTCACTTAACACAGGAAAACAGGCGGCATCTGCTGTTCCCCAGCCCTGAAATTGCAGTCTATAGAGAAATAAGTGATACAGCAGTTGCCATCTACTGTACCAATGTCCTCAAATCAGCTTTCTCCATCCTCAGCTGGTAATAACACAATGTTGTGACACTATATTTAACACTAGAACCGTGCATAATGCAGTATAAGTACAATATGTTACAGAATGCAAGTGTGAAAGCCAACACACTCATAAAATGCCCTGGAGCAGTAGACAATCCTACCTATAAAGAACCATGCACAAGGAAATTACAATATATTGCAAATAAACAATCAGTGGCACTCTGGCACATGGTGGACGTTAAAACCAAATAAAAGGTGTCTTACACAGTCAAATAAATACTGCTCTGAGTGTAAAATAAATAAATAAATAATAAAAATAAAAGCCTAAAATGTAATATGCAGCTCTGTCCCTAGAAGCTTTGTTCCTGTGTAAATGAAATGCAGTATCAGAGCAGCCTTAAACTGTTCTTGATTATATTGTATTATACTGTTTACTTAAATTAACTTTAAGATAAATACATTCCATGTATTCCTCATTAATCTTGTACACATCAGCCATGTAATTTACATACACTATCGATCAAAATAAATGAAATTAAATTCATTTGCTATCACTGGAATAATTTTTAACATTGTAATAAAATTTAAAACTTTTATTTTAAGTTATAATAATATTTCACAATATTGTGTTTTTACTGTATTTTTTTATCAAATAAATGCAACTTTAGTGAGCACATGCGTGTAAACCTGCTGACGCAGGAGCCGGTGTTCTGAAAGCATGCGCTGCTGCTTGCTTTCAAGCAGAGGAATGCACAAACATGCGTCGTGGTACTCATGAATGGTGGCGGAGACTGATGCGAAAGAGAAGAATCGTTGAATAAAGTCGTTATTTTTGTTTTCCTTGCGCACAAAACGTATTCTCGTAGCTTCATAAAATTACGGTTGAACCACTGATGTCACATGGACTATTTTAACAATGTCCTTACTAACGTTCTGGGCTTTGAACGTGTCAGTTCCATTGCTGTCTATGCAGGGTCAAAAAAGCTCTCGGATTTCATCAAAAATATCTTAATTTGTGTTCCGAAGATGAACGAAGGTCTTACAGGTTTGGAACGACATGAGGGTGAGTAATTAATGACAGAATTTTCATTTTTGGGTGAACTATCCCTTTAAATGTAAATGCACCTTTCATTGGTATACTTGACTCTTCATATGCAGCTTCTGTGTCTTGAAACTTTGATTGAAACTTCTGATACACAAGGACTATTTCAGTGAACATTAATCTCCATTACTAACTTCAGATATCAAACTGGCTGGCGATGGTAATAAACAACTTCCAATGGGTCTCACATTTATGACAAAAGCATTTTACAACTGAGCCACGGTTTGAAACAGCATAAAGTGTCATTGATGAAGCCTTTGAATTTTTTTGTATCCATCTCCTGACGTATACTGACTCTTGACTGTGTCTGTCCGCAGTCGTGGCCTAATGGTTAGAGAGTCGGACTTATAACCCCAAGGTTACAAGGGTTCAAGTCTCAGGTCCGGCAGGAATTGACGGTGGGGTGGAGTGAATAACTAGTGCTCTCTTCCACCCTCAATACCATGACTGAGGTGAGACCCTTGAGCAAGGCACCGAACCTCCAACTGCTCCTCTGGCGCCGCAACAATATGGTTGTCCACTGCTCCGGGTGTGTGTGTGTGTGTGTGTGTGTGTGTCTGTGTGTGTGCATTTTGGATGGGATAAATGCAGAGCACTAATTCCGAGTATGAGTCACCATACTTGGCCACATGTCACGTCACTCACTCATGAACTTCAGTGGATCTGTCTCCATACATCCACTAAAAATTACCTTGAGACTAGTTGCATTAAAAGTTCAAGTGTTATTTGTTTGCAGATGGCACTTTTTTTCATGCATTTCATACAGTGTCCAAAAGTGTCTGGATACTTTTTAGGGCCACTGTATGTAGGATGTTCATGTTTTGAACTGTTACTTGCTGCAAATTGTTTGATTTCATTCTTAGGCAGGAGTACACAGTCATGGCCAAACATTTTGCAAAGTTTGCCACTTCAGTATTTGTAGATTTTTCCACGTTTCTATGGTATACTGAAAAACAATGATAAGCATATCATAAGTTTTAAAGGCTTTTATTTGCAAAAAATATGAGTCAATATTTATAGTGTTGAGCCTTGTTCTTCATAACCTTCAGAGCCATTCGCTCTGGCATGCTGGATATTAGCTTCTTGGCCAAATCCTGACTGATGGCGATCCATTCTTGCCTTATTAGTTCTCGGAGTCGATCACAATTTGTGGGCTTCTGCTTGTCCACTCACCTTTTAAGGACTGACCACAGGTTCTCTATGGGATTGAGATCCGGGGAGTTGCCTGGCCACGGATCCAACATTTCAATGTAATGATCTTTGAGCCACTTCTTTATCACTCTTGCTTTGTGACATGGTGCTCCATCATGCTGGAAAATGCACGGATCATCACCAAATTGCTCATGGATCGTTGGAAGAAGTCACTCTTGCAGGACGTTTTGATACCATTCTTTATTCATGGCAGTGTTT